ATCATTTCTTTCTATTTTTTTTAGTAGAGACGGGGGTCTCACTCTTGCTCAGGCTGGTCTCGAACTCCTGACCTTGAGCGATCCACCTGCCTCGGCCTCCCAGAGTGCCAGTCTTTATTTTTTTAATGGACTAAGAAGAATCTTTTCCTTCCCAGGGTTCTGATTTTTTTTTAAGGTCCATTAACAATATGCAGTCACTGTTGTTAGCATTCTTGTTTGCGTAGCTTTATCAGGCATCCCACAATGTAATGTTGTTTAGATAGGGGTTAGAGAAGCTTGGGGGTTGGTTGTGTCTGCCAACAGGCAGGAGGCCCCCAAAAACGTTTCCCTGATCCGTTAAAGATTTCTGGAGCGTAACTGCTCTTCCTGTATCATCTACCATGTCTACTTCATTCCCTCTTTAACATTGTGAGTAGGTGTTCATAAGCAGATGTCTAGAATTTTTACCTCAAACAGTATTTTCAGTATTCAGAATTTCTATATCATTTTTAGATATTATAAAAGTAGATGTAATGGAGTACGACAGTAAATATTTCTTTTTCTTAAATACTATTATAAAGAAGTCTGAAAATAGTATGTTCCTCCACCTTCCTACCCATGCCTACTCTACTAGTTTAGGAACAATTTTGTTTCTTAATCTGGCCAATTTTTTAGTTTAAAGTGAGAATTAGAATTATAGTTGTTATTATTTGTTCATTTAATTTAATTAGTATAATTCCCACACTTCGAATACTTGTGAAATTTCTTCTTTATAGATACTAGTAGAAGGTTGTTCCATCTTACTTAGTTTAAACTCATCTAGAGTTACTACAATCTAGAAAGTAAAGGTTTTTGTAATATCAGTGTACTTTCTAGAGTGTGAAATGCTCTCTTGGGTTTCCTTGGTCCCCTGTTCTTCTGAGCAGTGGTTCTTAACTGAAACGCGATGTTGCAATCCCCTGGAAAGCTTTTTTAAAAAAGAATCTATGCCTCACCCCTAGCAATTCTGTTTGGGTTAGCCTGGGGTGGGGCTCAGACATCAGTACAGCTCTGCTGTAGATTTTACAGTATAGTCAAGGATAAGAGCTCTGTCCCAGGATAAAATAACTTCCAGACATTCTTTCATTCTCTAGGTGATTAAATGTCATGCCTCCACAATCATGTGAAATTGCCATTAAAAAATTGCCATTAAAGTGGCCAGGCACCTTTGCTCACTCCTGTAATCCTAGTACTTTGGGAAGCCAAGGTGGGAGGATTGCTTGAGGCCAGGAGTTCAAGACCAGGCTGGACAACTTAGTGAGACCCTGTCTCTTTAAAAAAAAAAAACAAAAAAAAAAACACTAAAAAGTTAGCCAAGCCCAGAAGTTCCAGGTTACAGTGATCTGTGATTATGCCATTGCACTCCTAGGTGACAGAGCAGGACCGTGTCTCTCAAAAAAAGAAAGAAAGAAAGAAAAAAGTTAAAGTTATTATATGAAGTCTTTTA